GAAATATGACATCAATAAGACCTCTCCCCCACCCTGAAGAATAAGACGTTCTAGAAGGGTGCTGCAGAGAAACCTCTGAGCATTCATTCATTCATTCAGTCAGTCAGTCAGTCATTCATTTAGTCGATCGGTGTGGACTTAAGTGCCTTCAGCTCTGAACGGGCAGGAAGACCCAGAGGGAGGCCCCTCCCTTCTGGCAGGGGTCAGCGGGGAGGGCTACAGTGGACAAGTCAGGATGTCGGGGAGACCTGGAAAAGAAAGTGAGGTTACACCAGGGCTAGAGAAGGGTGCAGGGGTGTGCTACGCGTGGAGAACAGCAAAGGGGGAGAAAAGTCCAAGAGTTCAAGGGGGCTGCATCTACTTAAGTTTGGCCAGTGGGGAGACTTCGGGGCATATGTAATGCTGAGTGGTCCGGACTTTCCGTAACAGTCAGCATGGCTCATGACGGTTTTGAGAGCAAGAGATGGGTCAGTGCAGGGCTCATGAATACTCACTTGGCCGTGGTTGGCAAAAGAGATTGGAAGAATAAGGGACCGTGTTCAGAACCCTTGTGGAGGTCAGCCGAAGTTATGATGAATGTAAATGGTGGGTGTGAAGGACATTTCTATGAACTCTTCGAAGTTTAAACTAAGGAAACATCTTGAACAAAGGATACTACAAGCAATTTAAACGCCAACCACCTAGAAATAGGAACTTAATGCACTGTCTTAAATCACCGTTAGGATCACTGATATCAGACCTGAAGGAAATTTAGAAACCACGTAGTCCAATCTCCATTCATAGGTAAGTAAGCAGGTTCAAAAAGTGATGGAATCTGTCAAGAAAGGCCCAGACAGGAAATGCCTGGGCGAGGCAGTGCCACAGGGTTTCCTCCATCCCAGGAAGCCTGGGGGCCTCCCCTGGGGGAAGTGCATGGTTTCGCAATCTCACCAGGGCGCCCTTGGAATCATCCATCACACACTGGACGCCCATCTCAGTCTCCTTGGCCCCTCTTCCCCAGCACGTTAAAAAGAGGCCCTCTTGAGGCGTTTCTGGGACTCCCTCGGCCACAGCGACGGTCTCTCTGTGAAAGCACCCAGACCTAAGCCTCCAGTCTTGGTCTTTCTCCTCCCGCTGGGCCTACCCTGGATATCTCCACCCGAGTTCCAGAGTCAAACGTGTTCCCTAGTTGGGTTGATGGACCATCCCGTTAGCACAGGCTAGAAACTCTGGAGTCCCTTTGATTCTGGCCTCTCTGATTCGCTGCCCGAAGTGCCTCTTGAAGGTGCTGTCCCCTCTCCACTTCACTGGCACAGCCACGGCCCAGGACCACGACAGAGCTTACGTTCTAAATGGGCTCCCGCCAGTCAGCTCTTCCTCGGCCAATCTACTTTCATGGGGCCTTCTTTTTTTTTTTTTTTTTTTTAAAGATTTTATTTATTTATCTTTAGAGGGGAAAGGAAGGAGAGAGGGAGAGAACTGGCCTGCAACCCAGGCATGTGCCCTGACTGGGAATCAAACCGTGGTTGCTTGGTTACCAGGCCCGCGCTCAATCCACTGAGCTACACCAGCCAGTGCTCATGGGGCCTTCTAATGGCCTCTTAAAACACACATTTGAGCCCATCATAGTTCAAACTCTCTTGACTTTTTGAGTTAAACAGCCTCCTGTGGGTTCGTAAACTTTTTCTGTAAAGTAAATGGTAAACATTTTAGGCTCCGAGGACCATATTCGACCTGTGCCATACACAACAATGTAAGACATAATGGAGGCTGTGCCCAGTATAATTTTATTTACGGGTATATAAATTTTTTACAAAATATTATTTTTCCTCCTCCCATCATTTAAAAGTATAAACACCATTCTTAGCTCAGGGGGCCACACGAGAACAGATGATGGGCCGGATCTGGGCCGTGGGTGCCGGCTGTCCTCCCCGGTGACCTTGTCCCCGCACTCTCTCTCCCAGCTCGCTCTCCACACTGCTGAGTCAGGGTCCCCAAAACAGGGTCCTGTCAGAAGCCCTGTTTAAAATATGGCAGTAACCCATTACTCTCAGAATAGCCCGAACCCCCAAATATGGCCCTGGAAAGTATAAAGCCTTCCCTCTGGTCCCTGACCCCCTGACCCTATTTCCAGGCTTCTCTCTTTGCCAAACGTCTAACCGGATTGCAGCTTCTGCCACCTCCCATCTTTACGTCTTTGCATCTGTGACTCCCTCTAGATGGGACACTCGCCCCACCCTTTCTGCTTTGATAACTGCTGTTCATGACCTCATTAATCAAGGTCATTACCAAACATCTCCTCCTCCAGAAAGTTTCGCCATCCCCTTACTTCCAGTGTGGAATAAGCCAATTCTCTTTGCTATGTGCTCCTGCGGCTATCTTTATTTCGATCACCGCACTGTTATCACGCGCTAATAACATGCATCGGCCTCCATAATACAGTGTGAGCAACTCAAGGATGGGACCCGAGTGCCTTTCTCTCTCTGCCAAGAGCCAAGCAACATATGTAAAAGATAGTAGGTGCTCAGTAAATATTTGTTGAACTAGTGAATGGTATACCTACCAGTTAGGTCCTTCAATAAAAGTTGAATTTCTATGTTTTGAAGTCCGGTTAGGCAATAAAGGGAAATCCCCCAAAAGTGATAGGGTATTTTCTTCTCATACTGATCTACTGATTTCTGCTCCAGTTTTGGATTTTCTTTGCCTTAAAAGATTTGGATTCTTATTTCATTATTACTTTATAACATGGTTTTCATTGTCAATTTTAAACTCGGTTTAAAATACGACATGCAAGGTGTTTAATTTATGGCTAAATGAAGAGCTACCCATATGGGATTTCTTTCTTTCAGCTGGTATACTGGGGGGGAAAAGAAATACTTCTTCCCAACCACACACTCGAGTACACTGAATCCATGAAGAATGGTGAGGGGCCACAAAGTCTAAAAAAATCCCCCAAAGCACATCAGAAATACTTAAGCCCCAAACCAAGTCACATTTTCAGTGCAAAAGAGAGATACACATGGTTCCTTGCACTTTTTATTGCTGCCTCACGTTTATGGATTTTACCAAATGAGGAGAGAGAGTAAGTGTAAATAAAATGCTCACAAACGTGCTGCACTTAGGAGACAGGTAATTAACTTTTATTGCCTGTCAAACGGGGTTAAACTTTTGCAACTTGGTGGAAATAAGGCTCAGTAGAAAAAGCTTTCTACAAAGGCCAGCAAAACCATTTTTCTCAGAACAAAGGGATTCGTTAGTTACCACCAGCCCACGTGTAGCAGTTGCTGTATGTTAATATGCTCTCCTTGCAAGAACTTGATCTCGTCAGACAGTACTGCACCATTGAGATGGTGCAGGGAGACTCTGACTTCAGAAATTAACTCTCAGGATACGACAGAATGGCAAAGGGGCCAAAACCTGCATTAATATTTATTTGCTGAAGCTCAGCCACACCGAGACGTTAAAAGCAGTCCTATTTCAGTGGCTTAGCGGTGCTTTGCACACAAACGACTGGTCTCAATAGAAGTCTGGCAGGGAAGAAAAACTATTAACTATCATGATGAAACCAAATTCGGAAACTGTTAAGATTAAATAACCATAGAAAGTACGTTCAAGTACAGTCTCAGTTCTACAAGGACAATGCTTTAAGTGGACGTTAAAAGCACAGTTATTATTCTGTAGTATTAAGCAATTTTTTCTCATAAAAGCGTTTTATCTATTGGGATTTTCCCACATATCACACATGTACAAATGATGTCCTTTCTTTTCTCTTTCTTTCCTTTCTTCCCCTCCCCTTCCTTCCTTCCTTTTTTTTTCTTCTCTTTTCTTCCCTTGTTTAAAAGGAAAGTTGGCAAACCATTTGGAATATTATCATAACAAAATGTTGTTAACAAAGTTTGATTTTAACAGAACTAGAGGCATCTTAACACTACCCTAAAACTTCGGGAGGTTCACCAACCTCTAGAATATTTTTTCCCCAAATGCAGGCTGTTCAAGTGGTGTTTTTCTCCATCTGTTATCATACCGTGCTCAGAATTACATTGTCATGTTTAATGTAAAAGGGATCAGTCCCCTTTCATAGTTTAAATTCAACATATTACTATGATTAGAAGACCAGTGTTTTTCTAAATCATGAACCGAACCAAATATAAATTTATATGCCCATTTCCACAAAGTTCTCCCTAAAAAACTGAAAACTAAAATTGAACAAACCCAGAGGCTTGACCTGAAAATTGAAGAATTTTATACCAAAATGAAAAGTGAGAAGCAATCACTTACAGGATAATGTGAAACAGCTACAACCTCAGTTTGAATTTTCCTCTGCTGTGTTTCTGTGTACATGTGTGTTTTCAGTATAGCAAATGACACACCTTTGCTATCAAAGACACCTTACCGTGATTTAGGCGAGCCTGAGTTACATGCTCTCTGAAGCTTTGTGACCACGAGCACAGCACAGTATCTCAGGACAGAAACAACATCTCGTGCAACCACAGTGGGACAAGCCTGGGTGTAACGGTGGTTTAAACGTGAATAGTGCCAATCCATTTCACCTCGAAATTTTACACCTCCCTAGACTCAGGTTCCTTATTTTGTATCAGTTCCATCTCCATTTGCATCTCAGGATGTCTTTTGTTTTGTCTCTTTCACCGCTGACAGCGTCTGATTATTTTCCAAAGTATATCACTCAGATCCTTCAGTTCAACATTTTTATTAGGCATAGAATTAACAAGAGAGGTGGTGGTAGGAGAAATATGTCATTTTGCTTATACTGATATAGAGAATTGCTTAAATATTGGAGCACTGTGGATGAGAGGTTCTGTGATATATCAGTAATTTCCTGCCACACTTATCATTCACATGTCTGGGTGTTTTGCTTACCACATCTCCACCTTCCTTAATATGCCTGAAAACTGTGGGTGAACTGAATGACTGAAACGGTGCCTAACAACTGTTTGGAAGCCTGTGGCAAAAATCAGCGGAGTGGAATCGGGGCTCTGGTGCGTGATGGGATTAGGGGGTACCTGGTGAGGTGCAGTTGCTGCTCCGCGGCGCCCAGCCGCTCCGTCAGCTTCAGGAGCTCCTCTCCGGCCCCGGCCGCCTTCTGCCGCTCCTGCTCCAAGTGCTGCTTGCTCTCTCTCAGTTCTACTGTCAGTTTCTCTATTTCCTTAGGTAGAGAGGTGAAGAGAAAAGCATCCATGTAAAACACATGCACTGGAATTCAAAAGCCCCTCATTGTGGGTTTTGCCATGAATTTTTTTTTGTAATAAAAAAATGATTACAAAATTGAGGCTAGCTTCCATTTTATGACAAAAGGACTCAACAAAGCCAAAAATGCACATGAGTGAGGTTTTTTTTTTTTGGATCGTAAGATGAAGTCATTTTAAAAATGAAGTAATTAGATGAGTTAAATGAGAGCAGTCAAAATGGATAGTATGTACTTTCATTCTAAGGCCCAGTCCCTTGAAAAATAATATTAACTTAAAATGTCACTGCTTTGAAAATAAAACATTTTTGTTTGTGAGATTACAGCAGACACAAGCAGTGATTTACATCAAATACGTGGCTCTCTCCTGAAAGATATATTTATGGTTTTACTTGGATATTTTGAGAACCAAATGAAAGGATAAAATAACTTAAGATATCCTGCAGAAAAATGTGAGGTGTAAAAGAAGGGTATCGTGCTGATGCTCACTATTATCTAGAAAAAAAAAATACAGCATGAGAACCTTTAAGCAATTAAAGTGTATAAGATTTCTGAGCTAAAATAATACTACATTAAAGCTGCATTGTAAAAAGGCAACAACAAAAGCAGTCTCAGATTCATAATGTGAACATCTAAAATATATAAAAATTTATGTTGGTTACTTTTTTGGCCTCATGATGAAACTGAAACATTTCAAAGCAAATATACCTTACATAGAACATAGTTTTAAATAATTTATACATTAAAGCAGACATAATTATTTATTATAGAAGGCCTATAAAATTTTTAAAAAGAGATCAACATTTATACTATTAAAAGAAAAACAAAAGAATGAAAAATAAAAGGCAGAAACATTTTCAAATTCAGCAGCAAGCAAGAAGCAATTTAATTACAAAAACATGTAATCCCCCTTTAAAAAACAAAACTATGCCTAAGTAGATTGTTTTAAACTTAATATTTAAGTACATTTCAAATATCCTCATGTCATTACTCAATATTCAGAACAATTTCCAACTATATTTAATACATCAGGCAATAAAAACTAACTAGTTCTTTTTAAACATTTATTACACTATAAATATTCTATTTATCCCCATCAAAACCACATATTACCAGCAATGTAATACAGCAACTTATTACAAGTTCTCATATATTATTTTAACTTTAAAAAGCTATGTAACAATGAATGAATCACTTTCTTTGAAACAGATTTTCTATATGTTTCAGATTAGAATACTAATAATACTTATTTCTTTTCTTTAAAATATTTTAAATTGCTAAAGTTATACCCATGTAATTAATTTCATAGTTAAATATATTTAAAGAGACTGAAAAACATAATAGAAAAAGCTATTTTGTTTTGTCTAACATTTGTGAAATAAATAAAAGCAAAGAAATACAGAATATAAATTACATGTGACTTTAAAACTGTAAAAATTAGTTCATTAATTTTTCTACACTGTGCTACATGCCCATGGTACTGTGTTGGACTTAGAGAATTTCTATCCACACCCAGGAGTTAACAATTCAGTGGGGTAAATAAGACAAACACACACAGAGGCATTAAAATGCAAAGCATATAAAAAACCTACAAATGAGTATTAAAGAAAATCTGTGCATTAAAAGGCCCGATTAGAAATATTTTGGCATGGGCAAGACAGTGGGGAAGGAGGGGCACACAAACTCATGGAATAACAGATTGGACCCCGTTAGAAAGGTCTTGATTTCTAGATTAATAGAACTATATTTTTCTTACATATAATGAGGAAATATTAATGGTTTAAACAGGTATGCAGTATGGGAGAAGCCCAAGGTGTACAGTTGATTAAAGATGGCAGAGACAACCAGTAGGAAGATGGCAGTCAGTGGCAATATTCCAGACATGAGGAGTTGAGATTAATACATATATTAAAACATATAAAGAAATATAAAGAGAACATGTTGAGTATATGGAAATAAAAGGAGACATAGCAGGAGACGTCCAAGATGTCTCTAGAAGTTTGAATTCAGAGGGCACAGAGAAGAATGACAGAAATAGAAAATGTATAAAACTCCAAACTTCCTTAAAAAGAAAAGATGCACCAATTTTTACAAGCACGACTCCAAGACAACATACGTAACCTTACACTGATAATCAGGTTGTCGGTATAAATGATGTGCTTTCTTTAAACTCATGTGATGGAAACTCAGAGGCTTCCCTGGAAGCCAGTCACACGTGGAGATTAAGGCAGGCCCACGAGTCAACACAGACCAAGGGTTTCAGACTCAGCCCTGGCACCTGCCTGCTCTGGGACCTTGGACCAGGCACTCAGCTCCTTCAAGTCTAAAAGGGGAGTGAACTTCAGCAGACTCCCAAAACTACTGTGAGGACGACATGAAACTATGGGTACCAGCAGGGGGCCTAGCACGGAGTAAGGGCTGAATTAAAGACTGCGGGCATCATCATCATTATTATTACTGATTTCTTCTCTCTCAAGAACAGTAAAAAGTGGCAAAAATGACCTGTGTGAGGACATATGGTTATCACTGAGGTCTAAAAAAGTTCTTGATTTAATTCAACAACATGTCCCCCCTAAAGCACTATTTTGGTGAAAACTGAATAAAACTTTATTATAATTTCCAAATGCAAGAAAGCATTCTTTTGTTAGGAAGATAGAAAATCATGGCCTGCTTCTGACGACCTGTGCCAGAAAAAGAGTTTATTGGTGCAGATAATCAAAATCAACAAATAATCTCACCAGCTGGACCAGGGCTCAACACCTACTCCCTGAGTTGGGAAAATCTGCCATGGCACCAACTCCAACAGCCAAAAGGGGAATCTCTTGCCAGAAATGCCATGCTCCCTCTGGCAGGGTAACCCTTTGCCTCACCCAACTAGGTCAGGGCTGCTTCCTTGGCCATGTACAGAGGCTCAGGGATGGAAGACCAACACCAGCCACAGGCCAACTACACATCACTCTTAAAGTACACTATGCACCTGCATCATCTACGATTCGTTTGATGAGCCCATCTCTACACTTCGCTAAAAGAGACAATACATTTCAAGTTATGAAGGTGACCACCAGGACAGCAAACAGGAAAATGGTACCAAGGACAAAATATGGAGAAAGGAGGGCTCACTGCTGTGCATTTGTAAGTTTTTTCTTAATCATGGACATAGGGAACTTTATTATCATTGTTCATTAAATTTCCCCACTCAGTGGCTCATAACAAAGAAGGGCAGTACCTGGCCTCAACTCCCCTCCCCCTCCACACCTAATCCTCAAAAGACACACACCATCCACTCTTCTGATATTCATCTTCATATTTTTAAATGACGTGCCTTCAACGCTGCTTCTTGAATTTTTGCAGGATTAGACATCGTCTATTGACTTCCTGTGTTACAATAGGTCATGATTGACATTTTTCATCCCACCCACCCAATGTAGCCAGCTCATCTTCCCATGGAACAATTTCAGTTAAATCATTAGTCAGTAGCCCATTTACATTATAATGATGACAGAAATATTTTTCACTATGATGGCAAGCATTAACTTGCTTAAAGTAATCTTCTTGTACATATTTTATTATGTCTGGAATTAATTGCTTAGTTTTTAATATTTTATTTTTCTAGGTAACTGACACCCCCACCACAAATGATCAAACAGATCTGTCAGATAGTCATCAATAATAGTTTTCCAAATAATGAAACACATCAGACAAACTATCAGTTTCTTTGAAATATTTTTCGTAGTTATATCCTTCTTGGTGCCTTATGTCTGGCCTGGTTGGACTGTGCATTAGGTCAAGCCTTTCCCACGCTCCTATCAGAGTCCTCACTTTTCTGGGTTGTAAGTCACTCTGCTTTTAGGTTTACTTTCTTTTTGGTGAACATATTCTCCAGGTAACTTTCATAAAAAAGGGTTCATGAATAATGTATTTTAAAGTATCTGTATGGCTGAACCTGTTGTCATTCTATGCATATACTCGATAGTTTGGCTAGGTATAAAAATCTATGTTGAAATTATATTTCATTCAGGATATTTATTTATTTATTTACTTATTATTTTTAAAAAATTTTATTAATTTATCTTTAGAGGGGAAGAGAAGGAGAGAGGGAGAGAAATATCAATGTATGGTTGCTTCTTGTGCATTCCCTGCTGGAACTGGCCCCTGTTGGGAACTGGCCTGCAACCCAGGCATGTGCCCTGACTGGGAATTGAACTGCGATCTTTTGGTTCCCAGGCCCATGCTCAATTCACTGAGCTACACCAGCCAGGGCTCATTCAGGATATTTAAAGGGTTACTCCTCTGTCTTCAATATTCTAATATCTCACCTGGAAAGCCCTATGCCATTCTGATTCCTGATTCCATACTTGGTTTATGCTTTCATTTTTGTTTCTGAACACTTGTACAATTATTTTTCCTCCTGGTATTTTGCCATTTTACAATGTTAAGCCTTGGTCTAGGCCTTTTTCATAGTTTGTGCAGTGGGGACTCTTTTAAATCTGGAGGTTTGGTTTCTTCAGTTTAGAGAAGTCTCCTTGTATTATTGTGTGAAAAGATTTGGATGCCATACATTTCAATATTTCCTCTTCCTGGACATCTTTCTGGATTTTGGATCTGTTGAATCGATCATCTAACTTTCTTATATTTTCTATCTTTTTGTCTTCTGATTCTAACTTCTGGAAGATTACCTTGACTTCATCTTCCAACCCTTCTACTGGACTGAAGAAAATATTTCTACCACACTCTCATTCCCACACACTATTTCTTATTTTCACTGTTTTACATAGCATGCTATTTTGATTTTATGGACATAACCTCTCATCTATTAAAATATTTTAGTATTTTAATGTTCTCAGCTCACTATAAATTGCCTCAGTTCCCCTTTATTCTGTGTCTCTGTTTCAGACACTCCGCAACGTCAGAGGCTTTTCTCAAATACACAGTGGTACTGGGCTGTTTCTTGCCATATTTTA